TTATATCATATCTAGTAGTAAGAATTAAAAAAAAGGAGAACATTGTTTATTAACCGAAATTTTTTAAAATTAGAAAAAAAATAATCTAAAATTATAGCTTTTTGTTGAAAAAGACTAAATAACATATTTTAAAGTAAGAATGAGATTGTTTTGATCTTTTTTCATAGTGTTTTATTAAAAAAATGTTGTTTTATAGTGTTTTTCCTTTGAAATTTTAGATATTCAGGTGATAAGTACTTCATTAAAAAAATACCATAAACTTTGTTTAAATATTTTTATTTATAATTCTATAAAACTCAAAATAAGTAAATTATTTAAGTCATATTTTTAGTTTTGGTAGATTTATAAGTTATTATATATTTAAATTATAATAAATATAACATAATATTTAATTTTAAATTAAGTACTCGTTAATAACTTATAAGTAATCATGTAAACTTCGATTTAAATTCATTTCTTTATCAAACTCAAATTGTTTATCAAATAAATAGTATTTAAATCTGAGCTTGACTCAAATAATACACAATTTACTCTAGAATTACCCTACACACTAACAATTTTAGATAGAACCATGAAACACAAGGTTAGATAAAGGCTCTAAGTTTAACAAAATCCTAGTTCCACCGCAGGTTCTGTTAATTATTTTATTTGAAGACTGAATAAATAAAAATATAAATTTATATTTAATAATATTAATTATAATAATAGATCATAAAAATAAACATTTTGATTGTTTTTAACTGTACGTGCTCTAGCAATCACTAACAGAGTCCAGCTATCCTCCCCCACTAAATTAATGTGTCAGTGTGAAATGAGGGAAGGGACAAAGACCTTTGAGAGTCAGCCCTTGAAAAGTCAAGATCAGACTCAGAGATAGCTTCTTTTTTTTTTTTTTCTAAACAGTATACAATTTGAGAACGGAAGAAGGGAGTTTTCAAGACAATGGTAGAACTAAAAATCTCGACCATCTCACCCAAATACTTTAATAAGACTCAAAATCAAATCATTAAATCTAAAAAATCAGAGATAGTTGGGACAAATACTTTTGAGGAGTCATGCTTTTAAAAGTGAGGAACAGAAATAGTTGGAAACTTTACTTTACAGGTCGAAAGTGGTAAAAAGTGAGGAACAGAAATAGTGGGAAACTTTACTTTACACGTCGAAAGTGTCAAAAGGTCAGGAACAGAAATAGTGTGAAACTTTACACGTAGAAAGCGTTAAAAAATTGGGTAAGTTCAGCCCTGTTTGTTAATGTAGTTTGGGTTAACTGTTGTTGATTTGATTTAAAT